TTTGAGCGTCAGAAAAGGCCTTTCTCAAGAAAGGATATATAGGAACCAGCTATGTGAAGAATAAATGTGGCAATAGTGGGGCAGTGGGGGCAAGGGGAATGTAATAATAGCATACCTCCAGTAGGAAAGTGATTACTACTTTTAAGGAATTTATGTCTGGACTTGGAGAGATATACATTGGTCAGATTATGTAGATCTTTGTGGATCATGTTGAGGAATTTTAGATTAATTTTAAGGGGAAGCCAGTGAAGATTTTTAAGCATGGATATGATTAAATCAGATTTACATTTAAAAGATTATTCTTTCAAAACAACAGTGAGATACCATCTGGCCCTAGCACTAATAGCAAAGTTCAACAAGATAGAAAATAACAAATGCTGGTGAGGATGTGGAGAGATTGGGACTCTCATACACTGCTGATGGGAAAGTAAAATGATACAACCACTGTGGAACACAGTATGGTGATTCCTTTTTGATTCCAAAAAGTTGAAATTAGAAATACCATTTGGTTCAGCCATCCCATTACTAGGTCTATATCCTAAAGAAGTGAGAGTCAGGACAAGAACAGGTAAATGCACACCCATGTTCATTGTAGCACTATTTACAATAGAGAAAAAGATGGAAACAACCTTCTGCATCAGTAGAAGAATGAATAACCAAACTATGGTACATACACATAATGAAATACTATGCAACATTAAAGAATAATGTATAATCTGCAGACCACACTGCATCATGTGGATTAACTTGGAGGACATTATGCTGAGTAAATTAAGTCAATCACAGAAGGACAAATACTGTATTTGTTTATTATTATAAAAAATCAAGGAAAGGTTTATATATGGAAGGAAACTTTGTTGGTTACCAGAGGTGGGAGGGGAGGGGAGGAAACACTGCAAAAATAAATAAACAGTAAATAAATGGGGGTGACTGGATTGGGTACGGAGTGTGGAGAAGCAAGACTGGAAGCAAATAGACCATTTATGATGCTATGATAATAGTCTAAATGTGAAATTTGGGTACATGTCTTCAAGGTGAATTATATATTTTGAAAAGATATATTTTGAAAGATGTATTTTAGAGGTGGAATCCATAGGCCTTTAGTGATGTTGTATGCTATTGATGAGGGAGCAAGAGATGTTTGGGTAACTTGCTGTTGTTTATGTGCCACTGAGTTGGCTCTGACTCATAGTGACCCTCTGTACGACAGATCGAAACATTGCCTGGTCCTGCACCATCCTCACAGTCCTTGCTATGCTTGAACTCATGCTTGCAGCCACATGTCCTTCCATCTCATTGAAGGTCTTCCCCTTTTTCTCGAACTGTCCACTTTACTAAGCATGATATCTTTCTCCAGGAAATTGTCCCCTCTGAGAACATGACCAAAGTATGTGAGACAAAATCTTTCCATTATCGTTTCTAAGGAATATTCTGGCTGCACTTCTTCCAGGAAAATTTGTTCTTCTGGCAACCCATGGTATTTTCAGTATTCTTTGCTAATACCACAATTCAAAGTCATCAACTCTTCTTAGGTCTTCCTTAGCCATTATCTAGCTTTCACATGCATATGAGGCAATTGAAAATGCCATGGTTTGAGTTAAAATAAAAAAAACAAACTCACTGCTGTCTAGTAAGATCGGACTCACAGCGACCCCTCCTTGGGTTTCTGAGGCAGTATCGCTACGAAAATAGATTGTCCAGTCTTTCCAAGGAGTGGCTGGTAGGTTTCAACAGGCAGCCTTGAATGCCTTAGGCACTATGTCACCAGAGCTCCCTGGTTTGAGTTAGGTGCACTTTAATCTTCAAAGTCACAACTTTGCTCCTTAACACTTTTTTGCTGTGTTGTTATGTGCTGTCAAGTCGGACCAGACTCATAGTGACCCCTCCTTGGGTTGCCGAGGCATTATCACTACTGAAGTAGATTGTCCCATCTTCCTTCCGAGGAGTGGCTGGTGGGTTTGAACCACCAGCCTTCTGGTTAGCAGTCAAGTGCCTTAGGCACTATGCTACCAGCGCTCCCATTTTATAATTAGAAACACAATTTTGTAGCATTGCCCTGAATGCTATTTGATTCTTGCAAATATTAAAGGCTAGTTACAAAAGTAATCCTAGATTAGTAACAGATTGATTGGTTAAAGAGATCACACATTTCTGATGTTCTATTTTTGCTTTTGAAAGGCAACAATTAAGTTGCAAAATCGCCATCTGGTGATTTTTGAAGTTATTATAGACTTGATAAAAGCTGAGTCTGGCCTTGACTCCTTTTTTGGAGCAGTTGTTAAGCATAGTGCTGGAACATTTTATGTACATTGTCTAATTTGTTTCTTTATAACATACTAGGAGGTGGATAGTATTGTGCCTGCTTTTACACATGGAGGAACAGACTCAAAACACTTATGTAGCTTACCTAGGGTCACAGAACTAGTAAGAAGTAAGCAAGCATGCTGATTTTTTTGGATGGGGGTTGTAGCATTGGGGAGAGAGGTGATCTGAACATGATTATTAAACATGCTGCATTTGGGAAATGGAATTAATTGGTCATCTTTTAAAGAGACGTTTGATACTCACTGTTAAATCATTCTTTTGAAGGGTTCTGTTGTAAATGGAATAGTTTCCTTGATTTCATTTTCAGGTTGTTCATTGCAGTGTATTTTGTATATTAAACTTATGTCCTGCA